TAAAAAAGAAAGGAGCTTTGAGACCGGTGAGTGCTTTGTAGGCCAGGTACGCTGGTGGTTACATTTCCTTCCTTCTCCAGATCAAATGCTTCTGCTGCTTCTAATGACAGGCCCGTGGTCAGCGTCCCCACGAGCAGTCATCCCAGACCTTGCCCGTGCACAGCAGGACCTGCACGGCGCCGGGATCTGAAATGAGCAGCCTTCACGTACCTACAAGAGAAACACTCTCTTTCTACAAGCGTTTTCTTAATCATTACTTCCTATGTAATTAAGCAGAAAATGTTTGTCTTCTGTTACAGGCAAAGGTTATGATGAGCAAGTTGGTTTGGGTTGTGTTATTTTTAGGAGTTTTTTTAGGAGAAAAAGGGAGGAAGGAAAAAAAAAGGGAGTGAATGAGAATCTGCTGCTGCTGGGGTTGCATCATTTATTGAGAGCTTTGCCTCTCTGCCTTGCTGCAGTATGTATTGCAGACCTCCCCGATGTATTGCATTGCCATGCACAGGGGGTGGAATCCTGCCCTGCAGGAGGGCTGGCGACAGCTTTGCCTGGGAGCTGGTGGTGGGGCACGTGCCCTCACCGCTTGCGGGCAGCGGTGCCCGGTGGGGTCACCTCTGAGGGGTTGGTGTCCACCTCCTGGCTGGAGGCTTCGCAGGCCGGGGCAGGATCGGTCCTGCCCGTCCCACTGGGTCTGCAGGCGGATGTGTTGGTGCAGCTGCTGCCCAGCTCTGGAGCAAGAAGAGATTCTGAGGGGTCCTCCCGTGCCTGGCCCTCTTTCAGATCGACCTGCTTCAGCTGCATGGCTGCGATCGGAATAACGCTGCTGCAAAGCCTCGGGTTCCTAGACGGTTGGTGTTTAAGACAAAAAAAAAAAAAAAAAAAAAAGACCCCGGTGAAGGTAGACATCTTAGCACATCAACCTCCGCTCCTTCCTGGTCTGCCTGGAGAGAGCTCTGGTTCATGATGTAACTCACTGGTCTCTTGGGCTTGGTAAGCTGCGATCTGTTGGAGTTTTGCTGTGCATGTATTGTCTTTGCCTATAAAACCTGTTTGGACCTTTGCGAAGGGCACCCGGATGGCTGAGGAAAATGCCAAGGAGGAGGCTGAGAAAGCTCTTTCTGTGTTTCCTAGCTTTGCTCTTTTTTCTCTTCTTTTTTTTTGGTTTTTTTTTGTGGGCTTTTTTTTTTTTTGTTTTAAAGGCACCACTGTAGTCTCTAGTCGTCCTCTGTTTGGAAATGCTGCAGAGCATTTCCTTGGCCGGTCTGACCCCTCTTCCATCCCCTCCAAAGACCTCGCGGAGGAGAGGAAGCCTGTTTTCTTGTAAACAGAGGAGGAGAGGAAAAACCAAACCAGCACTACCTCCTCTCCTTGGATCCTCGTGGCTTTTAAAGCCCTTTCATGGACTTAATCAGTCTTTCTTAAGATGCAATAATTTTTTCTTCCCCTTGAAAAGTAAAAGGGTGGTGGTGGTGGGGGGGATAATGCTTCATTGCTGGTGGTGTGTACTCTTTATGAAGGCTCTCCAGCCACAGAAGGTTAATAGTCAGTGTGGGGTCGGCGAGGGAATGGAGGCGAACGGCTGCGGGAAAGGGGGAAAGGAGGGGGAAAAAAAAAATAATGGCGAGAGTGAGACTTTTATTGTGAAGCAGCGTGTGCTTGGCAGTTGGCTTTTGTTGGGACTGCTGCAAGAGCAGACATTTCTCCGCGGGGAGGGTGGGTATAGGATTTCCCTGCCAATCGGGAGCCGACGGATTGGGCATGGGGAGAGTGAGCAGAAAGGGAAGTTTGCTGTGAATTTAAGGGAGGGAGAGGGGAGGGGAAAAAAAACCCTAACCCCAAACCCAACACACACACCAAAAAAAAAATGGAGGTATTGACACTTTGCGGTGAAGTTGCTGCGAAGTTGGTTGGGTGGAGCCGTGGGCCGGTGGGAATGAATGGGCTGCCCGGCTGCTGTGGGTGCCCGGCGGTGCTGGGTGCCGGCTGCTGCATCTGCCGGGTGGTGATGGAGCATGGAGGGGAGAGCGCTGGCCTGGGGGGAAGAGGCTTCGAGCACTTCCTGGAGCTTCCTTTTGATCCAAATGCTTCAAAATTCACAGTTGGCTTCTTTTTTTTTTTTTTTTTAAATTATTATTTTCTACCTTGATGCTGAGTTTTGTTTGTTTCAGAGGAAGGCGTGGAAGTTGTAAAGCTGCTGCTGGCGAGGGATGTGTCTCTGAGATGGGGGCCAGGAGAGCCCATGGGGTGCCACCTCGGGTAGCCTTGCCTTGGCACCAAGCTTGTCTACTCTCTCAGGAAAAAAGCTATGATTTCTCTCTGGCCTCTCTTGGCGCTGGGAATTCTACTTGGAGAGTTTCTGCCGCTGGGCAGGACCCGGGGCAGCCCTGAGCTCCTGGTAATTGCAGCGAGGAGGGAGGGTGGTTGTTAGCTGCCGAGGTCTGATTGACTCCAGGGTTCCTGCTGCGGCTTTTCTTCAGCCATCATGGGCTGAGCAGCAGCAACACCTCTGCGGAAGGGAGAGCATGGATTATTTGTTGAGTGGGGTTGCCGCTCATAAAATAAAGAAAAACTGAGAATTGAATGGCTAATAATGACCTGCTGGAAATTCTGGGGTTTCCAGTATGAGTCAGATTAATAGCAGGAATACCAAGACCTTTCCTTGTTGCGACAAAGGTTGGGAGAACAAGCTGGTCCCTGTTAGACTGAGGCACTTTATCTGCTGCCGGTGTCTGTGGTGAGGACTTGGGTGCCCCTTCCCATGGTGGGAGCCATGGGGTGCACTTGAGCACCCACTCTCTGCATTTCTCTTTGCATTAGTTTTGCAGCAGGATAAGTCTATGAGAAAAATGAAGTTATTCCCAGTTTAGAGGAAGTCTGGGTGGAGGAGAGGTAGGTTTTACAAGCAGATGTTTGCAGCAAGGATAGCTATTATTGGCTTAGCAAATTAAAAAAAAAAAAAAAGCTGATCGATGTTCAAACTTTGGGCTGTGCTTTTATGATTGTTTCTTGATGGAAGCTGTTGGCCACCGTCTGCTGGAGGTATATTCTATTTCAGGCTATCTGATCAGGCTTGAGCTGAGGTTTCAAACGCTTACAGCTTGCTTTTCGGTGTGTTTCTAAAAATCTGAAGGTGGTGCACTTGGGGCACAAGTTCCCTCTTGCTGAGAGCATCTAAACATGGCCGTGTTTGGTGTTTGCTTGCGCTCGGGGATGGGCAGCCACCCACAGCCACCTTCCTCCTCCTCGCTAGAGGAGTGATCCTTGGAAGTGCCCTTAGCTCTGCACGGGCAGGTCTGGCAGGCGGTGGGGGCTTTCCCCAGCACCCTGTGCCCAGCCGGCGTCCCTCAGCTTTCCTCCTTCCCATCAGCTTGTGTCTTGCTTTGCAGGTGATGGTGTTTAGGTGCAGGGCAAGGGTGGTTCTGCAGGCACTGTGGTGGCCCAGGGGCAGGGACCCGGTGCTGGATGAGCCCGACCTGGTCTGCATGGGACAGGGGGCTGCAGAAATCGGGGGGAAGGAAGACCCCATGCTGCAATACCTGGGATTGCAGCTGAGTTCACACGGAAACAAAAATGACAGGGTGGCTGCTAATAGCAATAGCAACACCAAAGCTCATCTCTCCCACTCGCTCGGACAGAAACCGATGTGGGCAAGGGCGAGCTGCTGCGGGGAATGGTTCTGGTGCTGATACACCGGGCTTTGTGTGTGCGTCTTGTCTCTTTTTGCTTGCTTTGTGAGAGATGGACAGGTTGGGGGTTTTTTTCTTTCTTTATCACTCAGTGTGCTTTGAACCTTGTGATTTGCATGGCTGCGGGCACCATCTGCTCTCCGTGCTGGCCTACAACAGTTGGCTGGACCTGGGCTTATTCTTCTCCTGCGATGCAGGCGGCGAAGTGAGCCCTTCACCCAACCGAAGGTGGACATCGCTGCCTCCCCCGGCACACAGCAGCTTTGCAAGGCAATCGCCATCTTTACCTTTCAGACCAGCTTGTCTCCTTAAACACAGAGCTGTGTCAAAGGACCTCTTCTCTTCTGTGTGTGTTTGGTGTTTTTTAATACCTTTTTCCTTTTGTTTTGGTAGCTTTTTTTTTTTTTTGGTCTTGCCACTTCAA